TGCCATTGAGTTGCTTGCAACTCATAGCAACCCTACGTACAACAGCCCTAAACCCGGCTCTATCCTGAGACAACCTTATTGTCTCTGACACACCTTCCCCCAAGATCCCTGTCACTGAGTCAATCCATCTCATTGAGGGTCTTCCTCTCTTACCCTGACCCCCTACCCTCCAAGCATGACATCCTTCTCCAAGGACTGATCCCTCCTTGCAACATGCCCAAAGTATGTCAGTATGTCAGATAGAGCTTCTAGAATGTAATGAACACATGGGCTTACTGAACATCTTATCCTATTTAATATTAAAAATATAAGTTATGTGAATTAAGGGAACCCTGATACAGGCTATGGTCTTCGCAATCACTTGTTATGCATCAGAGAGTTGGACAATGACCAAGGAGGATAGAAGAATTGAGACCTTTGAGCTGTGGTGCTGGAGAAGAGTATTGAGAATACCATGGACTGCTAGGAAAACAAACAGATTTGTCCTGGGAAGGGTTAAACCGGGTGGCTCCTTTGAGGCAAGGATTCTGAGGCTCCGTCTAACATACTTTGGACATGTTGTGAGGAGAGACCGGTCCTTGGAGAGGGACATCATGCTTGGGAGGGTGGAGGGACAGTGCAGGAGAGGAAGGCCCTCTATGAGGTGGATTGATTCGGTGACTGGAATAATTGGAATGGGAGTGTCAGAGACAGTGCGGTTGGCACAGGACAGAGCAGAGTTTAGGGCTGTTGTACATAGGGTCGCTATGAGTCACAAGCGACTCGACGGCACATAACAGCAACAACATTTAAAAAAATAACCTGGTAACAGTGCATCATGGTGACAGGCAGCTTTCCCCTATGGCTTAGCTTTGGCCAGCATGGACCAGCACACAGGATATCTGGATTCATTTAGAAGTCCTTGTTCCTGAGACAGAAGCATCTCTGAGACAGCTACAAACCTCAGAAAAGGTGGGCACAAGAAGCAACCTTCATCGGAGCCGAATCATTTCATAAATGCAGGAAACTCGGAGTCTGGAAGACCTGGCTTTGCATACCAACTATGAGCTCAGATAAACCAGTTTCCTGCTCAGAAATCAAAATCCTCAGCCTGACCAAAGATCCCAGACACCAGTTGCTACCTAGTAAATTCTGTCTGGAAATCTCACGTGTTACAGGATGGATAGACTGCCTCCTGTAATCTTTAATAAGCAGATCACCTGGCCTTTCTTCCGCAGTGCCAACCTTTTGGTTTACAGTTCTGTCCAAACTCTCTGCACCACCCAGGAACCGTAACCATGTGCTTAACTACCACAGTGTGAGTTTTCCACTAACATGACTTCCATGCTTTCCCGGTTGTGTGCTGTTGAGTCAATTCCAAAACATAGCCATCCTGAAGGACAGAGCACACAGCTCCATGGGGTTTTCTGGGCTGTGGTCTTTAGGAGAGCACGTCGTCAGGTGCTCTGTAAATATTTCTCATATTACTTAATTTGCTATTAGAAGCAGCCGTCAGAATAGAGCAAGGAGACACTGCATGATTCAAAATCCGGAAGGGTGTATGTCAGGGATGTATCTTTTCAATCTGTATGCAGAACAGATCATCTCAGAGGCTGGGCTCTGTGAGGAGGAATGTGGCATCAGGATTGGCGGAAGGTTCATCAACAGCCTGCGTTACGCAAATGACAAAACCCTGCTTGCTGAAAATGAGGAGGCCCTGAAGTACTTGCTGCAGAAGATCAAGGACTGCAGCCTTCAATATGAATTGAAGCTCAACATCAAGAAAGCAAAGATTCTCACCGCTGGGCCAATTGGCAGTATCATGATGGATGGTGAAGAGATTGAGATTGTTAATAGCTTTAGTTTGCTTGGCTCCACAATCAACACCCGTAGTACCAGCAACCAGGAAATCAAGAGACAAATTTCATTAGGAAAGTCAGCTGTCAGGGACCTCTCCAGAGTACTGAAGAACAACAATGTCAGTCTGAAAATTAAGGTGCACCTGATCCAGGCCATAGTCTTCACAATTTCTTTGCTATGCATCAGGGAGCTGGACAGTGACCAGGGATGATA